ATCATTATGCAGAGAAAAATTGCACGGTAGGAGGCACCCATCTCTGATCTTCAACATCCCATGCTTACAGCCTAAAACACACCCTTATGTGCCACTTAAAGTAATTCAAGTGGGAAAGTGCCCATCAATAACATGCAGCACCCTAAATCAGTATAATCAAATTGGATTTACACTGATCAGCCATAACATTATGACCATCTACCAATACCCATCGAGGTATGGACTTCACTAGACCTCTTAAGGCAGGGGCCCTAAAACTACGGCCCGTGGGCCACATGCGGCCCGCTGAGGACATTTATCCGGCCCGCCGGCAGGGGCATATTTGCCATGAGGAAGTGACACGAAGTACAGGGGCGGGCAGTGGGCTGCTGTATCTTACCTGGCTCCGTGTCCCAGTCCCACAACATTCCAGTCCAGGAAGCGCTGCTCCTTCATTCACTCCGGCCACTCCCTCACTAAATGTTCGCGCTGCCACTCAGCTCCGCCTCCTCACCGGTGATTGGGTGCCAGAACTGTAGCTCAGAAAAGACACACAGACGGCCAATCGCCTGCGAGGAGGCGGAGCCGAGCGGCCCCGCAACCATCGAGTGAGGTAGAGGCCGTAGTGAAGGACAGCTGACAGGTAAGTGTGCCGTGCAGATGGTGTTGCTGCAACCAGGTATGCTGGCTGCAGCAGCACCATGCTAGAACAGGGGTCAGCAAGTTAAGTATCATTGGTGTCAGTGGGAGGAATAGTGCCCTATCATTGGTGTCACTGATACTAATGATGGGGCATTATTCCTCCCACTGACACCAATGATTGGGTACTAGTCCTCCCCCCACTGACACCAATGATTGGGTAGTAGTCCTCCCCCCCACTGACACCAATGATTGGGTACTAGTCCCCCCTTACTGACACCAACGATTGGGCACTAGTCCTCCCCCCCACTGACACCAACTATGGGGCACTAGTCCTCCCCCCACTGACACCAACTATGGGGCACTAGTCCTCCCCCCACTGACACCAACGATGGGGCACTAGTCCTCCCCCCCACTGACACCAACGATGGGGCACTAGTCCTCCCCCCACTGACACCAACGATGGGGCACTAGTCCTCCCCCCACTGACACCAACGATGGGGCACTAGTCCTCCCCCCACTGACACCAACGATGGGGCACTAGTCCTCCCCCCACTGACACCAACGATGGGGCACTAGTCCTCCCCCCACTGACACCAACGATGGGGCACTAGTCCTCCCCCCACTGACACCAACGATGGGGCACTAGTCCTCCCCCCACTGACACCAACGATGGGGCACTAGTCCTCCCCCCCACTGACACCAACGATGGGGCACTAGTCCTCCCCCCCACTGACACCAACGATGGGGCACTATTCCTCCCCCCCCACTGACATCAACAATGGGGCACTATTCCTCCCCCCCACTGACACCAACGATGGGGCACTATTCCACCCCCCCACTGACAACAATGATGGGGTACTATTCCTCCCACTGACACCAATGTTGGGACACTATCCCCCCCCCCACTGACACCAATGCCGGGGCACTATTCCCCCCCCACTGACACCAATGTTTGGACACTATACCCTCCTCCCACTGACACCAATGACGGGGCACTATTCCCCCCCCACTGACACCAATGATGTACTATTCCTCCCACTGACACCAAAGATGGGGCATTATTCTTCCCGCTGACACCAATGATGGGACACTATTCCTCCCGCTGACCAATGATGGGGCACTATTCCTCCCACTGACACCAGTGATGGGGCACTATTCCTCCCACTGACACCAGTGATGGGGCACTATTCCTCCCACTGACACCAATGATGGGGCACTATTCCCACTGACACCAATGATGGGGCACTATTCCTCCCACTGACACCAATGATGGGGCACTATTTTGCTCCATAAGACACACTTGGGGGGAAATGTCTGTGCGTATTATGAAGCGGCCGGCCCAGTACTCCCGCCGCCGTTGTATGTCCGCAGTCTCTGGTCATCTCCTGTACTGTGTCCGTATTTGTTCATAATTTTTTGGTTTTTTTAACCACTTGAGCTCCTGAGGATTTACCCCCCTTAATGACCAGGCCTCTTTTTGCTACTCGGCGCTGCACTAATTCAACTGATAATTTCGCGGTCATGCAATGCTGCATCCAAACGAAATTTACGTCCTTTTTTTCACACAAATAGAGCTTTCTTTCGGTGTAATTTGATCACCTGTGCGCTTTTTATTTTTCACGCTATAAACAAAAAAAGGCCAAAAATTTTGAAGAAAAATAAGATTTTTTTACTTTCAGCTATAAAAAATATATAGTAAACTCAAAGTTGGTTATAAATTTAGGCCAAAATGTATTCTGCTCCATGTTTTTGGTAAAAAAAATCCCAATAAGTGTATATTGATTGCTTTGTGTGGTATAACTACAAACTATGGTATAAATACTGCAATTTACGCCATTTTTCTGCTATACAGCCCTGCGCTAGTTTAACGGACAATTGCGCGGTCATGCAACATTGTACATAAATGAAATTTACATCCTTTTTTTCCCCACAAATTGAGCTTTCTTTCGGTGGTATTTGATCACCTGTGCGGTTTTTATTTTTTTGCGCTATAAAAAAAAGACTGACAAATTTTGAGGAAAAAAAAACAATATTTTGGACTTTTTGCTATAAAACATGTCCAGTAAAAAAAAAATGCAAAAATCAAATTTAGTCATAAATTTCTGCCAAAATGCATTCTGGGACATGTCTTTGCTAAAAAAAAATCCCAATACGTGTAAATTAATTGGTTTACGTGAAAGTTATAGCGTTTACAAATGGCGGGAAAGATACTGGAATTTTAAATTTTTATTTATACTAATAATGGCGCCGATCAGCGACCTATGGTGGCAACCAGCGACTTATGGCAGGACTGCGGGACTGCGGCGGACATTTTGACACTGGGGAGGAACTGACTTGGGGTCACTGACATCCCCAGTGACACCAATACAGTGATCAGTGAAAAAAAACCACTGAAACTGTACTAATGTCACTGGGGAGGAAGGGGTTAACATTTTTAGAATTTGCTGTGTAAGGGGAGTGTTTTACTAGGGGGCGGGGGTGTGTACTGGACAGGGGGAGGGAGGGAGGGGGGAGCTGATCAAAGGGAGAGAAACTCTGCAACTTCACACAAGCTGTCAGAGAACTGACACAGAACAGGGCTGTGTGTAAACAATGCAGCCCTGCTCTGTGTCAGCGATCACCGGCAATCGCGGGAAAGCGGACGGTAAAAACCGGCCGTGACCCGTCAGCCAACACCCGCTGCTGACACCTGTGGGAAAGGTAGGGCGGGGCGCGCGCCTTGCGCGCACCCCCTACCGGTTTTGAAGGCAGCTGTTTTAAAACGTGCTTTTGCCTACGAGTGCCGCCCTGCCACCTTTTTTATGCGGTGGCTGGGCGGCAAGTGGTTAAACTATAGTCCAGCCCTCCAGCGGTCTGAGGGACAGTGAACTTGGCCCCCTGTTTAAAAAGTTTGAGGACCCCTGTCTTAAGGTATGCTGTGGTATCTGTCATCAAGCCATCTTTAGCAGATCCTGTAGGTTGAAATGTGGGTTCTCCATGGATCAGATTTGTTTTTCCAGCATATCCCACAGATGCTCGTTTGGATTGAGATCTGGAGAATTTGGAGACCAAGTCAACATCTCAAACTTATTGTTTCTCAAACCATTCCAGATTTCAACAGATCAGGCCACCTTCTTCCATTGCTTCATTGTCCAGTTCTGAGTGGCTGTGGATACGGGCCATCATGGGCACTTTGACAAGTTTTCAGCCCCATACACAACAAACTGTGATGCACTGTGTGTTCTGTTGGAACCAGCATTAACTTTTACAGCAATTTGAGCTACAGTAGTTCCTCTATTGGACCGAACTACATGGGCCAGCCTTCGCTCCCCACATGCATCAATGAGATTAGCTGCCCGTGACCCTGTTGTTGGTTCTCTTTCCTTGGACCATTTATGGTAGGTCCTGACCACTGCAGTTTTGGAACAATCCCAAAAGAGCTGCAGTTTAGGAGTTGCTCTGACACAGTTGACTAGCCATTACAGTTTGGCCCTTGTTAAAGTTACTCAAACCCTTGCACTTGCCCATTTGTTCTGCTTTTAACACATAAACTTCAGGGAACACGTTCACTTGTTGCCTAATATATCCCACCCACATTCAGTTGCCATTGTAATGAGATCATTTATTTTTCCCTTAACCTGTTTGGTTAAATTAGTCAGAAATTAGTCAGAGGGCGTGGCCTGTGCTGAAGTCCATGTCTTTGAATGAGTATAAGGTGTGCGGCCTGAGCTTTGTAATGTGACAAATCACACAAACATATATACTGAAAAGTAAAAAAAAAAAAAAAAAAATAGTCTGTATACTAAACAGTCTGACTATACAATCTTGTTGTAAAGTGTATGGTCACCTTTTAGACCCACTTCATTTAGGAATTGCCTCTCGGAAAACAGATCTGGCCTGAAACCCACCCCTTCTTTGCAGTACAAATCTCTTGCGGAAGCCTGTGATGAGGGGTGTGGCTGTTACTCAACTCTGCCAGTATAGTGCATTGGAGACAAATGTGGGATGCAGCAGATTAATTAACAGAAAAAAAATCCTGTCTTAAAGAGCAAAAGGTAAACGTTGCACAAACTATACCATGAGGGTAATATATAGGATTAAAAAGAGATCAATTGGCATGAAGTTTTAATTATACTTTAATTATTACTTTATTTAGCAGCACATACAGTACTCACCTTTCTTTTGCTTCACTGCCAAAGGCCTTCATTTATTCTCTCAATTACTTTTTTTTTTTTGTAAGGTCAGATAATTTAGGAGCCATGCAGACAGGAATATACTCTCACAGCTGTTTGAGTTTGTGCTTAAATAGGTATGCGCTTTAATGTATGCATTTTTAATATTTTGAGCAGCTTGTATCATTTTACCCATTTAATAATTATATTTTCTATTTCTGTCCACAGATATCACAATGCTTCCTACAGACAAAGGTTGAACCTGAAGACACCTGAGCTCTGGTCCATGAGATTCCAGCTGAATGGAGGGATCTGCCTGCCGCCCACTAACCATCTCACAAATACTTATACCTAGGGCACCCCCTGCAGATGAAGACAGCCAGGCCTTCCCTATCTCATGATCATCACATATACTAAATATATATATATATATATATATATATATATATATATATATATATATATATATATACAGTCATGGCCGAAATTGTTGGCACCCTTGATATTTCTCCAGGAAATCATGTATTTCTCACGAAACGTATTGCATTAACACATGTTTTGCTATACACATGTTTATTCCCTTTGTGTGTATTGGGACAAAACAAAAAAAGGGAGGAAAGAAAGCAAATTCGACATAATGTCACACAAACCTCCAAAAATGGGCTGGACAAAAGTATTGGCACCCTTTCACAACTGCGGATAAATAAGAATGTTACAAGCATGTGATGCTCCTGTAAACTCACCTGGGGCAAGTAACAGGTGTGGGCAATATAGAAATCACACCTGAAAGCAGATAAAAAGGAGAGACGTTCACTTAACCTTTGCATTGTGTGTCTGTCTGTGCCACACTAAGCATGGACAACAGAAAGAGGAGACGAGAACTGTCTGAGGACCTGAGAACCAAAATTGTGGCAAAATATCAACAATCTCAAGGTTACAAGTCCATCTCCAGAGAACTAGATTTGCCTTTGTCCACAGTGCGCAACATTATCAAGAAGTTTGCAACCCATGGCACTGTAGCTAATCTCCCTGGTCGTGGACGGATGAGGAAAATTGATGAAAGATTGCAACGCAGAATAGTCCGGATGGTGGATAAGCAGCCCCAAACATGTTCCAAAGACATTCAAGCTGTCCTGCAGGCTCAGGGAGCATCAGTGTCAGCGCGAAACTATCCGTCGACATTTAAATGAAATGAAACGCTATGGCAGGAGACCCAGGAGGACCCCACTGCTGACACAGAGACATAAAAAAGCAAGACTACAGTTTGCCAAAATGTACTTGAGTAAGCCAAAAGCCTTCTGGGAAAACGTCTTGTGGACAGATGAGACCAAGATAGAGCTTTTCGGTAAAGCACATCATTCTACTGTTTACCGAAAACGGAATGAGGCCTACAAAGAACAAAACACAGTACCTACGGTAAAATATGGTGGAGGTTCAATGATGTTTTGGGGGGTTGTTTTGCTGCCTCTGGCACTGGGTGCCTTGACTGTGTGCAAGGCATCATGAAATCTGAGGATTACCAAAGGATTTTGGGTCGCACTGTAGGGCCCAGTGTCAGAAAGCTGGGTTTGCGTCCAAGATCCTGGGTCTTCCAGCAGGACAATGACCCCAAACATACGTCAAAAAGCACTCAGAAATGGATGGCAAAGAAGCGCTGGAGAGTTCTGAAGTGGCCAGCAATGAGCCCAGATCTAAATCCCATTGAACACCTGTGGAGAGATCTTAAAATTGCTGTTGGGAAAAGGTGTCCTTCCAATAAGAGAGACCTGGAGCTGTTTGCAAAGGAAGAGTGGTCCAAAATTCCGGGTGAGAGGTGTCAGAAGCTTATTGATGGTTATAGGAAGCGACTGATTTCAGTTATGTTTTCCAAAGGGTGTGCAACCAAATATTAAGTTAAGGGTGCCAATACTTTTGTCCAGCCCATTTTTGGGGTTTTTTGTGTGACATTATGTCATATTTGCTTTTCTGCCTCTGTTTTATATTTGTTCCAATACATACAAAGGGAATAAACATGTGTATAGCAAAACATTGTGTTAATGCAATACCTTTTTTGTGTGAAATACTTGATTTTCAGGAAAAATATCAAGGGTGCCAACAATTTCGGCCATGACTGTATATATATATATATATATGTAGGTACACAGGGTACACATTATTTGGCTTACAAGACGCAGCAGGAACAAAATAGCCAACTTTTTATGTAAGGCAAATTTGGATTATTTGCTGATAGTGTTATATAGCTACAAAGACAGAAATGATTAAAGCATCCTCTTAAGCTATTTCTGCTAAATTTGTACGTAGGATGTGAAGAAGGAAAATTGCTGATCTTTTCTGAACCTGACAAATGGCCAGCATCATGTCGGTAATGGTCTTCTTCATGTTTCCTCATCTACATGAGGAAATAAGCCATAAATAAATGATAGTTATGCACCATATGGTGTTTAGATTCTTGTTCTCCAAAAACATTAATGCAGGTTGCCAAAAACACTACTGAGCTAGCAATGCACACTTGGGGCAGACACCAGTAAAACAAATAATATTTCGGGCCAGTAATAATGTTGCCTGTGTGTCTGCCTCTGTATTTGCACTGACAGTGCTGAGATCTTTATGTATACACAAGCCCCCGCTCCCCTATTTTCCCGTTTTCCTTGCATGTAAGGACCAGAGCTTCAGAACATTAGCTTGCTGTGTTTTCCAGCTGTACTGCCACCTTACTGAGACTGCCAGACTCTTCCTCTGAAAGCTCTCCTAAAACTTCCTGCATGACCAAAGTGTTGGAGATTGGGAAGCTTGCATCTTCTCGCTAGTGGAGGGTGCTTTGTGCTGGTCTTCACTACTAATCAGTGTTCTGTGCCAATTACTGACGGATTTTTTGCTGCTCTAAACAAGACTTCCTTCCATAGATCACCGATCAACCACACCTTACACCATGTGGACTATGTTTTATGTAGACAATCGTTTAACTCTGGTGCCAGCATGAAGATGCAGCATGTTCAGACAGTAAATGCGAGCCTGCAATCACTACATATGAATCCATTCATAGCACCAGCACAAATGAACAAAGCTTCATATGTATGTTTTTTTCTGGGCACAGATATCTCTACCAGCTTTGCCCCTTCATTACCAGCCAGTTGTATAGCAATGATGGTGCTTTTGTCCACATACCATTGCTGTTTTACACTAACTCTTTGTAGAAAGCTCTGTTGTTCTTCCTCATTGACATTGCTGGATCAGGAAGCAGTCTAGGGATGCGCCTTTGCACTTTTAGGACAGGTTAATCACAGCTCTTTTTAAGCTGTGTTCCCATTAAAGGGAGTTTTCTGCATCCTTTTCTGTATGTATTTTGTATTTAAAGAAAAAAAAAAAAAGGAGAAAAAAAGAAAATTCTTCCAGATATATTCCTATTGTACATGAGTAATGTACTCTTAACATTGGTTTAAGACAAGATTTGGGAGTATTATTTTCAAGTAAGGCCATATTAACATTCATACTCTGTGTTTTAATGATTGTGGATGGGTGTGTAAACTATATAATTATCCAAATGTATGTTTATGACTTAGTTATTTTATGAATTATAGCTCCTAAATTTTTTATGATTCTGGATTGGAATATTTCTTTGACATCTCACATTGAGGATGTGGGATGGGAGCATGGGACATATGGTAATATTCTGATAATAAACAAGCTTACAGAATCATGACTACAGCTTTTTCATGTCTTTTATTTCCTGTCTATTTTAGTCTGCACCCTAATGTTAGGTGTACACAATACGTTTTTCTTCATGCAACCAGACGGGCTGAACGAAAAAAAGTCTTCTCCGTTAAGATAGTGTGTTCTGCCAAGGGGACTGCAATTCTTCTGATTCGACCACGGCCGCCCCCCCCCCCCCCCCCCCCCCCCCCCCCCCCCCCCCCCCCCCCCCCCACCCCCCCCCCCCCCCCCCCCCCCCCCCCCCGTGAGGACACACTGGTCAGCACTCTGAGCCAGTGCCGATCAGATGCTGGTTTTCTGACACAGTGTTTCTCAGCCTTTTTTTCAGTTAAGGCACCCTTTAAAGTTCTACACAATTTCGAGGCACCCTCTAAAATTCTGCACAATCTTGAGGCACCCATTACAAAATTAAAAAAAGGAAACCAATAGTTTTGCAGGGCGCAGCAACATTTGCACATGTGGGACTCAATGTTGAGGGTATTTATTCTTCCAAGGAAATACACCTTTGCGCACTGGTGCTGACTAGTATTCCAGTGTTTCTCTTCTCCCTCAGTTTCTCTCACTCAGCTAATTTGACCCTAGTGCTGATGGGGAGGGGCAAACAAGGATGCTGTGCAGGGCCCCCGATGTCCTTCCCCACATGGAAGAAAAATATATGTTAAAAAAATTCCTCCCAAATATATTGCCATATGTTTGAAATACTACAATTTTGGCCATATTCTATATATATATATTATATATATATTATAATTACATTAAAGTGGGGCAAAAAAGTATTTAGTCAGCCACCAATTGTGCAAGTTCTCCCCACTTAAAAAGATGAGAGAGGCCTGTAATTGGCATCATGGGTAGACCTCAACTATGAGAGACAAAATGAGAAAAAAAATCCAGACAATCACATTGGCTGATTTGGAAAGAATTTATTTGCAAATTATGGTGGAAAATAAGTATTTGGTCACCTACAAACAAGCAAGATTTCTGGCTCTCACAGACCTGTACCTTCTTCTTTAAGAGGCTCCTCTGTCCTGCACTCATTACCTGTATCAATGGCACCTGTTTGAACTTGTTATCAGTATAAAAAGACACCTGTCCACAACCTCAAACAGTCACACTCCAAACTTCACTATGGTGAAGACCAAAGAGCTGTCGAAGGACACCAGAAACAAAATTGTAGACCTGCACCAGGCTGGGAAGACTGAATCTGCAATAGGCAAGCAGCTTGGTGTGAACAAATCAACTGTGGGAACATTAATTAGAAAATGGAAGACATACAAGACCACTGATAATCTCCCTCGATCTGGGGCTCCACGCAAGATCTCACCCCGTGGGGTCAAAATGATCACAAGAAAGGTGAGCAAAAATCCCAGGACCACACGGGGGACCTAGTGAATGACCTGCAGAAAGCTGGGACCAACGTAACAAAGGCTACCATCAGTAACACACTACGCCGCCAGGTACTCAGATCCTGCAGTGCCAGACGTGTCCCCTGCTTAAGCCAGTACATGTCCGGGCCCGTCTGACGTTTGCTAGAGAGCATTTGGATGATCCA